CTTATAGTAGACGGAGCCTGATCTTATCCAGACAGCTTAATTCATAGCTGGCTCAAGACCTTAGTGTTTTCCAACCTTGAGCAAAAAATTTGTCAGTTGTGCTACCGTCGTAACAACTGTATTCAGAATGCATGAATTGCTAAATAAATGCGTTAATACTAGGAAATTAACTTATGAAAAAATAAAGAAAATATCATTTTCCCTTAGGGACGGACTATTTAATTGTTGAGGGGGAGGGGGTTGGGCAATTACGAAACAAAATTCTTCCACTAGAAAAATAGGAGAAAAAAAACTTTCACACCCAAGAGCGGAAAAAATTTTATGCAAGTCCTTTCTACTCTTGGAATTCTTGTAGAGGGTTATGAAACGGAAAAAAATCCTGCAAATATTAGTACTAAAAAAAACCTCTTACTAAGAAGAAATTGCCCAACTCCCTTATCAAGAATTAAATGGTCCGTCCCTTATTTCGACAGAAAGGGAGACAGAATTTATGAGCAGTTACGAAAGATGGGAGTGTCAGTGGATTGGGACCGAGCTTGCTTCACCATGGATCCTGTAAGTATAAATAACAGGCCACTTCTGGGTTGCCTCAAGCCTCGTTTTCAAAACGAGGATAAGTACGAACTCTTTAATGCGAAAATATCATTTTCTTCATTTCGCATCAAGTAAAACCTCATTATCATGTAAAAGGTTTTGAAAGTACTGCGGTAAACTGTAGAGTACCGTAATATTTTTTGCTTGCAGTGTTCATTTCTAACTCCGGCTACATTGTTCTGTTCTGTTTGATTCGTTGTATTGAATACAATATTGTGACTGCCCAAAAAACTTATCTAACACTTAAGCATTTAGTTTAAGCCAGGAGAAGCTTATGAGTCTTAGTGATCCCTAAGTATTTCTTTTTCTGAACTCTTTCATTGCAGAAACTAAGCCGAGCAGTGAAGGAGGCATTTGTTAGACTTCATGATGAAGGGCTGATCTACAGAAGCAGAAGATTGGTCAACTGGTCTTGCACTCTGAACTCTGCCATCTCTGATATTGAGGTAAGTTTAGATACTGTTCCTTGTACTGTTCTTTGCTCCTTTCGGCAATTATAGGGGTTAATGTTGTGCGGAGTTATGCCGCAAGTGAGTCCTGATTTAATTTCAAATTCTCCCCTCGATTAACAAGAATGTGTAAGGCAAATAGCAAGCAGTGAATCAAATAGCAAGAATCAAGCAGTGTATCAACTCACTTGTGGAGTACGTTCAGGGACCCCCTCAATTGTTGTCTTATTTGATGGATGTAAGGAGCAGGGTCTGCAGCCGGACATGACAGGATAATATTTTCCCGCTGTTTTAAATAGGTTGACAAGAAGGATTTACCTGGCAGGACATTGTTACCTGTTCCAGGTTATGAACACAAAGTGGAATTTGGCGTCTTGGTGCACTTTGCCTACCCTGTGGAAGATTCAGGTAAAACAACACTGTTAACTCACGTCGTCCGAGTTCACCATGTTAATCTGACCTAAGACTATACCCTGTTGAGCGCTGCTCCGGTTAAAGAACTTTTTCGTCTAACCAACTATAGTTTTAATGTAGTTAGCACCTGAGCTTTAATTAAGGATACTAGTTATTGTTGGTCGCGTGAGACGAGACCGCTATTTCTGTGTGGTTATCCGAGCCACACGAAGGGTTAGCTGTTTAAAGGGCAAAAGCAGTACCTTCAGTTCTGTTACTATTTACGACTTTTAGCCTGAGCATAGCTCTTAACGTGTGGTCGAACTTGAAATGAGCTCCACGTTGTGGATGAAGAACTTTCTACGGGTTCAAAACTACGAAACCATTCAAACTCCCTTTACTACTGTGAATTCTTGTACTGAGATTTAAATTTGCTTCTTTAACAAATATTTGTTTCCTTACCTTGGTATCTTTCAGATGAAAAATTGATAGTTGCCACTACACGTGTGGAGACCATGTTAGGTGATACAGCAATTGCCGTTCATCCAAATGATGCCAGATACAAAGTAAGTAATCTCTCGTTGCACATTTATCTGATTCCTAGTTCAAACTACGAAAGAGGCTTTTCAACTTAACACCTGGTAGCGAAATATCACTTTTAAAGTAATTTCAAGTATCCTTAAACTTTCTCGCGATTAATCCAACTCGCTAAATTTGTCAGGTGTTCAGAAAAATATTTACGACCTCTATTAAACTTTGCATCACATATCACGTCTTAGTCGCGCAGTGACGTCGAAGAAATGTACCAAAAAGTATGATGCACTTGCAGAGCTGTTGTTTTGCTCATCGAATCTGTTTTTTTTTTTAAATTTTTTATCGTTGTCGTTGTCGTCAAAGTCACTGTCGCCGCCTTGGTCGTCGTGTTTGCTTAAGGTCCCCCCAAGCCCCTTCGACGGCGTTGTCTATCAACAACAACAACAACAGAACAATTAATTGGAAATTAAACTCAAGCGCGTCTCCCGATTGGATCAGAATGTGTCACGTACCGTGTGCCAAAACTTCAA